AAGGAGTTCTAGCTGAGAAGAGGAGAAGAGATATAGAACAAGAGCTTAAAGGATAGAGAATTCAGGAAGAGAAGATCACATTTTTATGGCTCCTTAGGATGTGCAAAGTACTATACATAAATTATAAAAAGAAATATGTAGGACAACTGATGAATTCATTAAGGGCTGCTCCTGATAACACTAAAGGAATTTTAACAATGCCTGTACTTTAGCTTTACCTGGTCTACCCAGATTTGTATATTTGAAGGTGGCTGAAGGGGTCTTGGATTGGTGTATTTGCAAAGGGCTCTAGCTCCTTTTGTCTAATTCAGTATTAGCTAGATAGACTCGATTCCTGGCCTATATAAAATTGATCTAAAATATTCTGGGCAGGGCTGGTTGCTTGGGAGAATCTGGTTGCTTCCAATTTTCAGAACCAAAACCAATGTTGAGGTGCAGGTTTGTGGTAAGGTGGTCAGGGTACATACATCCTCAATGGCTTTTCCCCTTTAGATTATATTATACACTATTAATAAACTAAAACTGCATATATCAGGCTTTCCTCCCACCCCACCCCCCACCCCATAAGTTGGTTAGTTTTGCTGAGTTTTTTTTCTTCTACTTTAAAAAACTATTATAAAAGATGACTGTTATACCGGCCGCGCCGACCTTATGCCGGCTGCGCTGAACACTCCTCCTATAAGGAGCAGGCTGCCAGAGGCATACTCACTCACCAGTCTTCGGTCCTCAACCGGATAAACACACAGAGATGAGCCATCAGAAGGCGCCAACACCAGAGCTTTATTCAGAAGCCATCACAGCAAGCCAAGCAGGAAGGCCAGAGCAACAGAGCAGGAGCAGAGAGAGCATGTGATCTGACCACAATCGTTCCTTAAGTACCTACTTAGCCCCTCCTCCCCAGCCTGCTTACTAGCCAATGATTGTAGGGTCAAATACCGGAAGAGGCTGTCTGAGTTTAGCACACCAAGGGAGAGGGAGTGACGCAGGAGGCTAGGACCGGATACAGGAAGGAGGCGTCTGGGATTAGTGCATAGACAGAGTACGTGACCTAGGAAGTCAGGAAGGACACAGGAAGGAGGCGTCTGGGGTCAGTGCTACACAAAGGGACCCAGGAAGTCAGGAAGGTCACAGGAAGGAGGCGTCTGGGGTTGACGTTGCATATAGGGAGGGGACTAAGCAAAGGGAACTCGTCCTCTGCCGTCCCACTCCCAAGTGGCACCGCCCCTTGCCTCAGGAGCACAAGCTCCAGCTACTTCCTTGCACCCAGCTTATCTCACACAGCACTGCCCACTGCCTCAGGGCTTCTCTGTACCCAGCCCATCCCAGTTCACCATGACTCTGCCTACCACAGGCCCTGCCTCAACTTCCAAATACCCAGATTCTACCCCAATCTTGCCACAACGCCCACCTGGTAGTTGCCAACATCAGACAGTCCCTCACAGACTGTTTCATACGGGATCAGTTAATTGGAGAGTGAATAAGCATTTATTAAGTGCCAACTCTGTTCCAGGCACTATGTGAAATTCTGGGATACAAAGAAAGGCAAAAACATGGCCCCTGACCTCAAAGAACTCACATTCTAATGGGGAAAACAATATGCAAATAATTAGGTAAACAGAAGATATATTACCTGCACTCTGTAAATCGAATTCAGTCTCAAAGGGAAGGTATTCTTCCAGCTGAAAGTAAGATTGGAGTTGAGTCTTGGAAGGGAGGCAGGGAAGCCAGAAGGCAGAGGGGAGGAGGGAGAACATTCTAGAAATGGGAGACAGTCAGTGCAAGTGCATGGAGTCATGAAAGGGAGTGTCCTGGGTGAGGAGCAGCAAGTAGTCCAGCACAGCTTTACTGCAGAGCATGAGGAGGGGAGGAAAGTATAAGAAGATTGGCAAGGTATGAAGGGATCAGACCAGGGGTGGGGAACCTGCAGCCTTGAGGCCACATGTGGCCTTATAGAAAATTATGCAGACTCCGCTCACCACTATGAATTGGGGGAAGGGGTTTCAAGTGAAAGTACAACCAGTACTAGAAAGGATGGCCAGTATCATAGGGAGGCAGCCATGACTCTGTGAGTAGCAGAAGGTGAAAGGAGTAAGAAAGGAAAACGTTTAATGAGAAACGAAGTTTGTTAATTATGGAGAAGGCATTCCAGAGAGCACAGTAGAAGAGGTGAGAAGATCTGAAGTAGGATACTGGAGGATACAGTTGAGGAGGATGGGGATAAGGGAGCAGGCAGTTGGAGATGGATTTGTAAATTGGCAGGAGAAGGATTCAGGAGAGAGTAAGAGGGATGGGAGTGTGCTAATCAATGCAGAACGAGTCTAGGCAAAATATCTGTGGTTAGACAGAGGCTCCTTGAGGGATACAGGGGATTTAAATGTTCAGGGTCCTCCCTGGAGCTCCAAACTCCTGGCAGATGTTGATGTTTGTTATGGGGAAACTTGGGAAAGCCATTTCACAAAATATAGAAGTGGACTAGTTTATGGCCTGGGGGAGTTTGCTCAGGAGGCTAGAGGCAGCAGTAGGAAGTGGGCTGTCCGAAGAAGAAGATGGAGGGTGACTAGGGAAGGTCCTGGGGTACAGACAGAGGAATGGAGGAAGGTGGCTGGGATCCAGGTTGGCAGTGGGAAATGTGGGTGATGGAAAAACAGAAGATGTGAATACAAATTAGAAAGAAACAAACTGAGTGTGAGCAACTGATGCCAAGCTCTGTCTCTGTCCCTTGAAATCCAGCATCAGACTGGTGAAGCATGCTTATCAGATTTGGGGATGCCATAAAGCTGAGAGGGATAGTTAATATGTTAGATGATAGAATCAGAATACAAAGAGAGCTCAGTCGGCAGTAAGGATAGGCTGGAACAAACAAGGTAAAAGCAGTGGGGATGAAGTGCAAAATCCTGCTCTTGAGTAAAGAAACAATACAATGAATATCCCAACTACTATACAAGTACAGAATGGAGAAGTGGTTCAAAAGCAATTTACACCAGAGACCTGGGATTTGAGAGGACTGCAAGCTAAATATGAGTCAACAGTGTGGCGTAATTGCTAAGAGAGTTAAAATAAACTTAGCTGACATGAAGAGATATAATGGACAGATTAAGAGAGGCAAGAGTTCCATTGTACCAGTAAGACCATACGTGTAGTTCTAGGTACCACTTTTTATGACAGAAGGTGACCAGACTGGTGAATGGTGTAGAAAACATGTCATATGGAGTTATTTAGCTTGGACAAGAGGAAGGCAGGGGAATGGGGGCTAGGGGCTACTGAATGGAGACAAATTTCAGGTCAAAATAAGAAAGAACTTTCTAACCATTAGAGCTATCTAAATAATATAATAAGCTATCTTGTGTGATAAGGAGTTCCTCATCCATGGAAATGTTTAAGCAGAAACTGGAAGACTATTAGCAATATTGTACAGAAGACACAGGATGACCTTTAAGTTAGACCAAATGACCTTTTACTTCTATGATTCCACAATCTGACAGGTTCAACAAGTCATGCTGACCATATTTTCTAAAGGTCTCTCTTTTTTTCTACCATCATTTTTGGGAGATAAACTGGTGGGGGGGGCAGAGAGTTGAAGACAAGTTGAATGGGATTGTGGTGGTTCCCGATACGTGTTTTTATCAGTGTGGACCTTAGTGTGAAAATATCCTTCACTGATACAAGTCAACAACTTGTTTGAAAAGTCAACAAGTTATCTGGAAAATTGGGAGGTGAAATGTTTTGCTTAGGGTCACAAAGCCATTATGTTTTAGAGGTATGACTTGAACCCTTCCCATAGGTGTGCATCAAACATGGGGCAGATATGCTAACACAGAGGACCCATGATCTATGTACACTTAGAGGTCTTCTTGATTCATTGATGCACCCTCTACCCGTTGTGCCGCAATGTTTCTCCAATATTATCCCAAGATGACATATTTATCATAAGGTACAGCCTAAGGAAAGGCAATCCTTCTCCAAACTCTTTCTTGCCTATGTATGAACTTTGGTAGTTCTGGACCTTTTGCTCAAATGCTAGATTGTTTTCCTGAGATAAATTCCAGCACTGTTCCTATTTTACAAATGCAGAAATTATGCCTTAGTAAGAGTGACCAGCGCAAAGTCTCACAGGAAGCTAGAGGCCATGGCAAGGAGAGGGCCCAGAATGACCCATCCCTAATTTTATCTCTTAAAAAGTTCCCGTGTTATAGTCACCAACCAAATCCATAAACCCCTGGCCTCTCGCTGCTCTGAAAATGCCAGCCCTGGGTTCAGAGGCTACAGGGGAAATGATCTACCTCCTGCACCACACACTTCAAAAAATCCCTCTCCTCCCTCTCCAAGTGTTCATTAGAAATCACTGCCATTTTAAATGAGAAGAAACCAATCCTAGGCAGTTACACACTTGAGAACGTTTAAGTAGTGCACAACAGCTTGTTTGGAGCAGAGGGGGATTAAGGGGAAGGAGACAGCCTGCTTGGCTACTCCTTACTAAATCCACTTCAATATTTACAAGCTTCTTGTTGGAGAGATTACCATATCCTGCTACAGAAGGAAATATATCACTACTAATTCTGGAACACAGTTAGAGATAAAAGCTGCAAACTTGGTGTAACAAAGACAAATGATTTCAAAAGAACTATTGAGTGGGAGAAGGAATTCAAGTAATTGAGGAAAAGAAACTAGGTTGAATAGAGGGTGTGATAAGTGGGAAGGCAAAGGATTAAAAATTCGCTTTTCTACAATGCTTTAAGGCTTGCAAAGAGCTTTCCTCCCCAAGGTGTGCCCCCCCCAAAAAAAAACCCATCCCTGGGATGTGAGTAATGGTATCTCCATTTTATAGATGGCAAAAGGGAGATTTAGAGAGGTTAAAAGTGACTTGGCTGTGAGGTATTGGAGTGAGGATTCAGGTCCAGAGCTAAATGTTATGATCTGAATGTCCAGATAATGTTTGTTTGTAATTGTTAGTTGCTCTTTCACCTCATCTTAAATTACAGTGAATTTCTTTTCCCTTGCAGTTTTCTTTGCTTGGCAGGTAATAAAAGCCAGGAGGAAGTACAAGATCTCAGCCCCGGCCGTCACCGGGTCAGCAGCCTTTGAGAGGGTATTTCGTGCACAGTAAGTTTGGGACAGAGCTACTCACTGAAATGGCAGGGGGGACAGGAATGAAATTTTGTATTTATCTATTCCAGTGTATCTTTTATCTCATGCACTTCTAATATAGTCATTATATAGCTTCAGGATATGCATTTAAATACAGGGCTTTTGAATTCCCTTTTAGCCCATTAACAGGACCTTTTCTAGCTGTCACCATAGACAAGCCATAAATGAGAAGGTTGGGTCAAATGAGCTTTGTATCTAGAATCATCTGATTGTGACCTGTAATATGCTTCTGAAAATTATAGGAATGGGGATGGAGAAAACAGACCAGCTCCACCCCCAACACGGGATAGGGAGCATTCAGATAGGAGGAGACCTCCTCAGAGCCCAGCACCACCCCCAGGGGCCATTTGATGCACCTGTATGCTCTTTCCACTTGTCATACTGGAATCACCTGGATGTGTGGAGAAGGGTGAGGTCTTTTAATGGAGACCTTTTGATGGGTCTGTTCCTTGGGTCTGAGAGACAACCAATCAAAAACTCACTCCCAGCTCCTGCCAGGGCAAGAGATACAAGGGTTCAGTGGTTCCTAAACAACAACATTGCCCCTTCCCCTCGTTCTGCCTCCAGGAGGCCTTCTCCCTCACTCCCCACTTCCTCTCTTCCTAGCTCAGAACTGAAGTGACTCAGCACTGTATTTTCTATCAGTCCCTGAAACAGCCTTTTCTTCATATGTTAGTGTCAGCTAATGATACAGTACTTCAAGATTTGCAAAGCACTTTGCATAATATCTCATTTGAGCCTCACAATTACCTACCTGTAGGGTGGGTAATAATAATAATAATAATAATAATAATCATGCTTATCATGATACTATTAGGATAAAATATTATAATAACAGAATAGTATTGGAATTAATATTATTAGTGGTGGCATGCCACATGACCAGAGAGGTGGACTCAGAAAGACTGAGGCTCAATCATTTAACATCTCAGCATCCCAGTCAACTAACTCTCTAAGACCTTAAATTGTAGGGCAGGTAGGGCAAGTGCCAATCTGCACTGGAGGGTTTCCTCTCTGGAAACTCTCTACACCAAACAAACTCCAGGTCTAGTGCAAAAAAAAAAAAATCACTAACATTGATATATAGAGCCTCATTGCCTTTATCTTATTTGATCCTTACAACCACTCTGTGAGGCAGGTGCCATTATTATCCCCATTTTAGTTTTTATTTTTATTTTTTTATTAATTTATTTTGATTTATCAACAATCACTTCCATATGCTTTTGAGTTTAAATTATTCTCCCCTTTCCTCCCCAGCACCCTCCCCAAGATGGCACATAATCTGATATAGGCTATACATATAATTATCCCCATTTTATAAAAGAGTATGCTGAGGCTTAGAGAAATAAGGGACTTGCTAGTATATGCCTAAGGCTGGATTTGAAAAATTGATATCTTGTAGATTTGTTCTCGACTGTTCCTTATTTTTATAGCATCTGGTCCATAATAGATGCTTAATGTTGATTAAATAATGAATATTATATCACTATGATCTTACCTTTCTCTATTTGCTAAGTGACTTGCCAAGGGTCCTAAAGCTAGTGAGTATCTGAAGCAGCACTTGAACCCAACTCTTTCCAACTCCAAGGATAGAGTGCTATCTGATTTGTATATATTTGTTGTTATTGTTGTTCAGTCATTTTTCAGTCATGTCTGATTCTTCATGATCCAATTTAGGGTTTTGGAGTTTTCTTGGCAAAGATACCGGAGTAGTTTGCCATTTCCTTCTCAAGCTCATTTTGCAGATGAGAAAGCTGAGAAAGAGTTAAGTAACTTGCCCAGGGTCATACAGCTAGTCGGTGTCTGAGGCCAGATTTGAACTCACAAAGATGGGTCTTCCTGACTCCAGGCCTGGTGTTCTATCTGCTTTGTCACCTAGCAGCTCCTATCATGTCTCCTAATTTTTGACATAAGAAAACTGGGTCTCAGAGAGATTAAGTGACTTACCCATGCTCGCACAGCTACTAAGTGTCAGAGGTGGGATCTGAATTCCAGTTCTTCCTGACTCCAAAGTCCAACACTCTCTCCATAATGTCTTGCGTGGCTACCAGGACTAAATGGGACCAAGCAGCTAGACTGTTTAATAGATGCATTCAAGGAGTCATTAGGTATTGTGTTCTCTCTTCCTTTTAGTTCAACATAGCCTGTTCCTTTGGAAACAGCATAAGTGAGCCAATAGGATGATATTTAATATCACCCAAGGAACTTAAAACGCTCTACAACCCTAGAAGGTAAAGTTAGCAGGTCTCTATGTGTTTGTTATCAAATCTTAGGACCATAGGATTCAGAGATGGAAGCAAGCTTGGAGATCATGGAGTCCAATCTATTCACTTTTTAAATGAGGAAACTGAGGCCTTCAGAGGCAAAGTGACTTACCCAGAGTCTTATAGGTTCTTGAGATTTTCTGCAAATAAGAAAGATTTAGGAGCAATTTTACATCATTTTATTACCAATCTTCTTTTCATGAAAGAAGAAAATTCAGGTGCTATTCAAAGGTGGCAAAGGCTGGGGAGCTTTTCCATTTTTGCTTGCATGGTAATAAAATAATGATTTGGGGGCCATTATTTCAAAGCAGTATTGTCATCTTTACTATCATCATAGCAGCTGAATTCAATTCCAGGGTCACAGAGCTAGAAGGAACTTTCTTAAAGGCCATCTAGTCACACCCCTCATTGTACAGACGAGGGAAATCAAGGACCATGGAGGTTAAACGACTTACCCATGGCCACACAATAGTGTATAACAGAATTTGAGCTCATGTCCTCTGACTCCAGAGTTGGAATTCTTTTCACTGACCAATTCCAGAAGAAAAGTTGTGTATAAAGATAGTATTTTACTCAGCTGCTGACAAAAATCTGTGAGTTCATTGTTGCAGGCCCTCCCTCATTCCAAGATGCAGGTCACCACCATCTTGTGTGACCCTCATCTATGTCTTCCTATATATTTACCATGAAGGGTCCTCTTAGTATTCTTATAACTTTAATTTCTTTCTTCTGCCACCAGGAAGATATCAATGGCACCTTTAGAATGGCCATTGTGGTTATACCTTGCTGTAGCCTTGAACTCTGTCCTTTTTTAATGACACTTTTCTGTCATGCCACAATTTCCTTTGGTTCTTCTTTGTGTTTGCATTTAGTTGTGTGCTACAGAACCACCATGTATCTCTTCATTGACTTCTTGGGGGTAATAGCTGAAATATATGAAAGACCATTCAAGAAGAGAGCCTAGAATCTGTATGGACACTGGATGAGAAATTTAAAGACATACTACTAATCTTACAGGCAAGATGGCTCCCCAAGTGGGAGGCAAACCATTTGGCTCCCCCATACTTACTCCAGCAAAATCGTGAAATTTGCATCAAATCAAATAATGATCAATAAGCCCAATGAGAAACTATAATGACTTTTTCCATCCCAGAAATGCATAAAACAGTCCAGGAACCCAAGGTTAGTAGGAAACGGGGCCACCAAAAAAGCATAAGTTAAAAAAAAAGAGTCCAACTTGGATAACAAACAAAAAGAACCTTTGAATTTCGAACGCAAAGATGATTTACCTACCAACAGTATGTGAAGGGTGTTGCTGTCCATGACAGACAGAGAGCAGCATATGGAGAGATCCAATGGGGGCTCATTGGCTGTAAGTGGGACAATATATTGACATTCCATAACTTCTCAGTATTTTCCCTCTGACTTTTTAGACAATCAGCTCTATGAGCTTAACTAGAGAAAGAGAAATGTGAAGTTGCCTCCACTCCAGCAGGAAAATTGGACAGATAATAATCTGCTTGTACAGTTTTAATCCAGGTTAAGCTATTCAATATCCAGTTCTCCTTTGCAAAGACAAAGAACCTTTCTCACTAAGCCTTTTGGATGTACTTCATGGTGTCAGGAGACTGTGGCCTTAAGAACTGCTATATGTCATCCTCATTCCTCCTTACACTGCAAGCCTGGAAGCTTCTTTTCCCTGCCTCTGCTGTAAATCTTGGTGGAGGTTTAGATGGCTTCATTCAGCTTTCTATGCTTCCCTTTGGAGCTGAAATGACAATGCTGGTGGACTTGGCTTTATAATCAGTTTTAGCATAGCACTTTAAGGTTCCCAAAGCAGTGAAGCAGTAGATGTACATTACCTCATTTGCACCTCACAACTCTGTGGTGAGAAGTACAGATATTATTATTTCCATTTTACAGATGAGGAAACTGAGACTCAGAGAGCTTAAATGACTTGTTGAGGTACACACAACTAGTAAATGTCAGAGCTGGGATGGAAACCCAGGTTTCCTGACTCCCAGTCCAGGGCTCTATCCACTATGTCACCTCACTGTCATGAATTGGATTTTCATTGCTTCAGTCTTATGAATAAAACAATGTACAATTGAATATTCAATAAATGTCTTTAAAAAATAAAGTTCATTGGGCACACACCCTAATGAAATGTGCCTTTAAAACCTATGGTTTTTGTTGTAGTTCTGGGGAAAGAGGAATAAATACTATGACTGGTGTCCATTTTGGTATCAATACTATACCCTCCGTCCTTAAATTATGATTTTCTCTTTTTATTCCCTCATCCATGCTGTCGTTGCTAGGCAGCCATGGTGAACTGATATGTTCATCATGCAAAGCCACTAGGTGGAGCAGTGGATAGAATGCTGGACCTGAGTCATCAGACAAGTTCAAATATGATCTCAAGATAATTTCTAGCTGTGCGACCCTGGGCAAATCACTTAAGCTTTGCCTGTCTCTGTTTCTTCACCTGTAAGATAGGGATAATTAGAACAGCACCTACCTCCCAGGGTTGTTGTGATGATAAAGTGAGATAAAATTTATAAAGTACTTTGCAAACCTTAAAGTGCTATAGAAATCTTAGCTATTATTATTATTAATTATATTATTGTGCCTCTGTTGTCAGCCATCCTTTCTAGTTCTATTGCTGCTGAGGGAGGGGGAGAAAAGTCTGGG